CCTAAATAATGTTATAATTACTTAACACCCAGGGTTATTTTTCTACTTAATAAAATTTGTTCTATTATAATCTTTTAAGAATTCATTCTTTCTAATATATGAAGATTTCATATTTTAAAAAGTTGTTTTTTATTTTTGATATAAAACAGTATGAACCCAATGTAGAAATCTGAAGTTAAGACTATTCCTTTGGCAGAAAATATTTAATTATAAACAGATCTTAAATAAATACAATCCATAAGCTCATAGAAAAAGAAAGAAAATAACAACCCCGCATTTATTAACACTAAAAAAACACAGCACACAGATTTAATATCACTTTTATGCTATCAACCTGCAACACAAAATTTATTACATATGGCAAAAATAATTTTTAATTTAAGAGAAAGTAACTTCTGCATGTATAAAATTTCACAGATAAATGCCAATATACACTATATATACTGTATATATGTTATGCTTTATTATTCCAAAACTACATTAGTTGAACTTAAATTGTCTGATCCCAATTTAGTGGGTGTAAAGTATTTATACTGGCTCAAAGAATTATGCTGAATTAAGTTTTACAAGTAAGATCACAATTATACATGAAATATTTACACAAACACGAAACTACATTTATTAAATATAGTTTGGGAGGGAAAACGTAAGATTTTCCATACATTTGTAATATATGAACATTGAACATTAGTTGTTATCCAGAGCAGCTTTGAATTCTTTTTATGGTTTTGATTTTTAAAGGACAGAAGATCTGTTTCCAAAAAAAGTAAGGTGCCATTTTAGAATACTTTTTATAAGTGTATAGTTGAATTCACATGAATGGAAAATACTAGATGAAAATCAGAAATCAAAGTTAAAACTTTCTTTTCAGTTACTCATATCTGAAATAAGACAATGACAGAAATTGGGTTTTCAAATACTGCTTGGTTTCCTTTATAAATGTAGACCAAGTATTACATAAGACTATTTTGTTTTAAGATAAAGTCTATTTGAAAAAGGAACATACTTATAATCAAATTTCTGTAGATAAATGACAAAATTTCCAGAACTGTCTTCAAATGGATTCTTAGTAGAAAGAGTGCTTTCTTTAAAAAACAAATATAGAAATCTTGCTTCCATGCAAGTAACTTTTTAAAAACTATGTTTTGTTTTTCCTAGTCTAAATAGCATAGATCCATATGCATATGTATTTGCATTTTCTATTTTGTGTCATATAAAAAGTTGGTAGATGATGAAGTAGTGTGCAAATTTTTAGGAGAGAAAACAACTCCTATTGGTTTACTACCTAACTCCCACAGTACGTGGAATCTACCAGCACTATATACTAATTAAAATGTAGGATTCAGAAAACTTGCCCCCATACCTTTCCTACTGATCCACTGCCTTCTATCAAACCATCATCTGCTATGATTCCACAGGCTAAGCATTACCTTTGAAAGAAATGGCTAATTTTTTCAACAGCGTAGTATGCTGACTGACAGCTTTGCAATGGTGCTTCAATCACTACTTTAAAGAAACAACATTCTCAAAACAAAAACAAAAAACAACACATCGCTAAAACCACACTTATTCATGCTTGATATACGTCACATCAAATACTAGGAATGGTTCAAATTGACATACAATCCATAAAAGGGAAATGCAGCATCTCTGCACACACCACAGTGCAGGAAGACAAACAAGTGGACCATATCTCCATTAGAGAATGGTCAAAGTCACTTGGAAAGGTCATTAATGGCAACAGGAAATACTGGGAAAGGAACTTTTTTCCCCAGGGAATGAATGTTTCGTGGAACATTCCTTAGCCCACTGTTGGGTGACCAGTTGGGGGACTGGCTGAATGCTTTATTACACACCTGCATTTACATGGTCTTCACTTGCTAACAGAAAACATTTTTGCTCCTTCCAAATTGCTTTTACTTCTGTAGACAATTATATGCTAATTAGTGCTCAACGTAACACTGAGAGCAAAACTGACAAGACTGCAAATGCAACTGCAATTTAAGGAGCCAGAAGGAAGTATGTTGGCAAGCTAACTGCTTACACAAAAAGATGTTTGCCTTTTAAAAGAATAGTGTGTGGGAAACTCTGAAAAAATTTCTAAAGTTCTTCAGTGCTGTTATCATGACATTTTAGGGGGAAACAGTGCTTAAAGTAAGATTTTTACACTCCTATCTTATACTGTTTAGTATTACAAGGCTACTTATTGGGTGTCCAGATTTATGTAGAGAGATTTCAAAGTAAGACGCAACTAACTGGAAGCACCTCTAAGCTGCCTCTGATCAAAAGATTGACTTTACACAAACTGGACTGGAAAAAAATCTTTCATGGCCTTGTAGAGTAAGATAGGTTTTTGTGCTTTATTTATTCATGGTCCTTTTGAGTTGAGAGGGAAAAGGTTTTCTTTTAATATTTTCAGGTTAGAATCACAAAGGTTTTGTAATACACTTAGGAAGACTTTCAAGAAAATGCTTAGTTTGTTTCTAAAGGAGCGGCTGCTGGTGGTAATTTGTTTGCTGTTGTGCAACTGAGTGAGCTGGAACTGCCACGGGAAAGCTTGCCAGCTGTGGCAAACTGGAAGTAGTGTTCTGGTAAGACGACATATCCACAGACATCCCCATGTGCTGTGTGTAAGCAGCTGCACCAGTAGCTGATTGAAGGTTAGAGTTCTGGTTCATGTAAGTAGGATTGGAAACAGTGTCTTGTCCAGTGCTATAAACAAAATAAAAAACAAAACAAAACACATTTAACTTTGCACTATCTAGATCACCATCAGAGATCAATGATTATTATGACAAAAGTGTCTCTTTCATCTTAAGTTTATGTAGTTCTACTGCCCTGAATATAATTTAATCACATTAGCTATCAAATACTATTAATTTTTATATCTGCTAAGAAGAGAGAAGTACTGTAAGAGAAACAAAATGTAAGATCGTAAGGCCTTCTGAACTTGACTTCTCCAGTATCTGGCACCAAAAACATTCAAAAACTATCTGAGGAGATGTGAACTCTCCTGCTTGAGGTCCCCTTGGTCTGCTGCCACAAGAACAAAGCCCTGGCTCAAGAGGCACTGTCATTCCATATTCTCCTTTCCCTAAACCCTAACAGAGCACAAAGAAGCCCAGCTCATGTCTTCACACATCCTTCAAACTTTCCTTGGTGAGGACTTTTCATTTTCAAAGGGAGAACTGTGTAATCTGCAAAGGACCCTGAATCTACCCTCAGGATAATCCTGAAGTACAGTTTCCTTATTAACACTCACAAACTGGCTCGGCACCTGTGGCTCAAGCGGCTAAGGCGCCAGCCACATACACCTAAGGTGGCGAGTTCGTATCCCCAGCCCGGGCCCGCCAAACAACAATGATGGCTGCAACCAAAAAAATGGCCAGGCGTTGTGGCGGGCGCCTATGATCCCAGCTACTTGGGAGGCTGAGGCAGGAGACTCGCTTGAGCCCAGGAGTTGGAGGTTGCTGTGAGTGTGATGCCATGGCACTCTACCCAGGGGGATAGCTTGAGGCTCCGTCTCAAAAAAAAGAACACAAACTAAGCTGAACAATCACATCAAATTGCAGGATGTTTCTTTGTTCCTATTAACTCCTATAAAACATTTCTTTTAAAATATATATAATTTAAAATTACACCAAGTATACTTCTTACAATATAGGAGGATTAATGTTAACAATATATCGGTTTTTTTCCATAATGTCTAGTTTCACACAGGATAACAAAATTTTGTGTTTTAACTTAAATAGACACCAATATGAACAGGTTTATGTAATTTTCAGATAATATCTAAAACTCATACTTATGGAATTTAAGAATGGGAAGAGACCTGAGAGATCATCCACACGTTATTATATGAAAGAATATTTTGGCTCAGTGCCCACAGCATAGTGGTTAGGGTGCTGGCCACATACAATGCGGCTGGTGGGTTTAAACCTGGCTGGGGCCTGCTAAACAACAATGACAACTGCAACAAAAAATAGCTGGGCACTGGGGGGGAGGCACCTGTAGTCCCAGCTACTTGGGAGGCTGAGGCAAGAGAATTGCTTAAGGCCAAGAGTTTGAGGTTGCTATGAGCTGTGACACCATGGCACTCTACCAAGGGCAATATTGTGAGACTCTGTCTCAAAAAAAAAAAAAAAAAAATTCCACAGCTCAAGCACGTTTCCTTTTCAGGGTCAAAGTAACAACAGTTTTCTCATTTTTAGAAGTACATGCAGATAAATATGTCCAGGACTCTTTTGCTGGGCCTCTTATGGCACAGTGCTAAGCACATCACGGGTTTAGTCCCCAAAGAGAATGATTAGCTTTATTTTGTCCCAGGGACCCATCTCAATATAAGCAGCAAAGCTAATGGCAGCACCATCTTGCTTCATGGGAGTATGAATGGGCAATTCCATAACTTCATCCTTATAGGGATCTCTATATTCTCATTCTGAAAGTCTTTGAAAATTAACATATATAAATACAAAATAAACACTACTCCTAAGAACTTACCTTAAATATAGAGTTTGACCAGGCTGTGTTGTCACAGAGGAATTCACATTTGGAGGCAGAGATCTCAGCGGACCAATCTGATCCAGTCCCAGGCTATAGCTTTGGGCAACAGTTACTTGGTGAATGCTTTGACCCATATAGTTTCCACTATGTGGTTGAACTGGATATGTCTATTAACCAAAAAGAAGTAGACTCACAGATATACCCCACACCTCAACAAGATATTGTAAAACACTAAAAGACTTAAAGGAAACAGTATGTTATAGTTCTCCTAGAGCAACTGGATTCTACTAATCTATCTACTTTAGAACTAAAAGTGGAAAGCTTCTAAACCATGGTGCCAAATCTATACACATTTATAATTTGCTTGGTTGTTCTTCTCTTTTACTGAGGACTGGGAAAAAGATAGGTGGTGTAGGGTGGCGCCTATGGCTCAAAGGCGTAGGGCACTGGCCCCATATGCTGGAGGTGGCGGGTTCAAACCCAGCCCCGGTGGAAAAAAAAAAAAGACAGGTGGTCTATTTTTAAGTGGTGGGATGGAATCTATATAGGTTGCCTATTACTCAATAGGTATGCCTTGCTACAGACCCATAGAAAACTATACACTCCCCTGAAGGGAAACCCACCATCCCTTCAAGTTGCCATAAGAATGGTGACTTTCTTCACCCTATCCTAGGATGACTCATCTATCTCCATCTAAGAATGAAACTTACAAGAAAAGGTTGAAAAAGAAATGATACCGAGGTGCCAAGCCCTCTCTGGTAATGTCTACTCTATTTCCTGCCTTTAGGACATGCAAGACAAAAGTGAAAAAGAGCTGTGGGTAAAAGATAAAACTTTAGGAAACCGCAAACATAGTCCAAGTCTCTTTGGATATTTATATGTGCCTTATTTAATTCTCAAGGCAGCAACTCTTTAAGGACAAGGTCCGCTACTTCCCTACATAACAACAAAACAACGTACATGTTTAATAAATATCACACAGTAATAATCATTGCTCCAGTTTTCATTTCACCTATTTTATTTTATTTTTTTTTTTTTTTTTTTGAGACAGAGCCTCAAGCTATCCCCCTGGGTAGAGTGCCATGGCATCACAGCTCACAGCAACCTCCAACTCCTGGGCTCAAGCGAGTCTCCTGCCTCTGCCTCCCAAGTAGCTGGGACTACAGGCGCCCGCCACAACGCCTGGCCATTTTTTGGTTGCAGCCATCATTGTTGTTTGGAGGGCCCGGGCTGGGGATTCCAACCCGCCACCTTAGGTGTATGTGGCTGGCGCCTTAGCCACTTGAGCCACAGGCGCCGAGCCAATTTCACCTATTTTAAAATAAATACTATTCACATGAAAATATAAAATATCAGCGATGTCAAATAAACTACATGAAGTGAAATCACATTCCCTTCTTAGTGGACATGTAACAATCCACTGACAAGGGGCTGAAGACTGCGGGAAAGAACAGCTACGGTTTCAGGCGTGGCCTGCACTGATACGACTAATGGTGTGCTACTTCAACTGCTTCTAGTAGAAGTACGTTTTGTCCAATTAGAATAGGAAATTTTGAATACTCTGAATACTGTTATGTGTGACTAGTGTAGACAAAGGTTATATGAAGAATCAAACTGATAAATAGGTAACTCAGGTTATAAACAGAATACAATTAAACCTGACAAAGGAATGCAACCCTTCAGAGATCCATAAAAAGCTGACATTAAATAGTTTTATCACACGATTCTATTATTTTCCACTTTCACGGTGGAAGCAAACAACTCCTTGAAAGCAGAAGCAACCCAAGATAAACTCCAGTTGTCATCTGCACCCAGAAATCTTTCCAATCCTCATATGTAATTTTCAAAAAGTTCAAGGCATGGCATATTTGATAAATGCATCTTGTCTGACGTGACAGTTACCATAGTAACTATGCTTTTTTTACTTAACAATTATGTTGTGTCAAGTCATCTAAATTATGCACCCACATTCTATCTTTTCTCCTTCGAATCTCCTTCACACATACCTTTACATACCAGTTTTCATAAGGTAACACGAATTTTCTCATCTAAGCTCATTCTAAATTCAATCACTAATTGGCTGAAATATGAAAATGGCTTCATAATGGAGATACTAATAAATCTAAGTATTCACTGCAGCTGGCAAGTACAAAGGTGAAAAGTACTAGGAAAAGATGCTATTTCTGGATGGCTATGAACTCTGCACCTCATAGGTCTGCATTGTATCTTTTTGTGTATATGTGGTGTGAAAGACAAAAGTCTCATCCCATTGCCCAAGGCTAGAGTACTATGGCATCAGCCTCTCTCATAGCAACCACAAACTCCTGGGCTCGAGCAATCCTCCTGCCTCAGCCTCCTGAGTAACTGGGACTACAGGCACCCACCACCACACCGAACTAATTTTTCTATTTTTAGTAGAGACAGGGTCTTGCTCTTGCTCAGGCTGGTCTCAAACTCCTGAACTCAAGGGATCCTCCCACCTTAACCTCCAAGAGCGCTAGGACTACAGGTATGAGCCACTACAACCATCCTGTTATAAATGTATCTTTATTATGCATAAATTTTTATTTATTTATTT